CTGGTGCAAATTACTGACCTCTGTCATCATTTTAGGTGGGGGAACTTGCACAATCGGTGGCTGACTAAATACTTTTTTGCCCCACTGTATATGCTACATTATACTGCATTTAAAGATGCTCTAATTTCCATTTAGGAACTAAAGACCAACTTAAAGCTGGAGGACATTCACTGATGTCAGGAAGTGATGCCAGTAAAAATACAGATTTTTTTTTCTTTAAATGTCGCTAAGCAGCAAACAAAGTAGTTACCAGGAGGTAAAAATGGTGCATTTTTCAAAATGAGCAATCGGCTAATTAAATTGAGAAAACATGCTATTTTAAGAAAGAAAATAAGGTGATTTTGAATTTGATGGCAATGACATGTTTTAAAACAGTTTGGACAGGAAGAGTATGTAAACATCTGGGAGCTGAAGACACCAGCTGCTGGGAGAGGACTGTTGTCCCATTCTTTTTTGATATTGGATTCAAGTGCTGAGTCTGCCATATAATATTTGCCATATTTTACATTCATGAGAAATAGAATGTTTTGAACTGGTGAAAGATCCAAACTGTAGGCAGACTAGTTCAGCACCGGATCCTCCTACTACAAAGCCGTGCTATTGGAATAGATGCAGCTGATCTCGTTTATTTACATTAAAAAGATGTCATCTGCATGCATATGTTGGTGTTGGTCATAATTATAGGATGTCTGATCCTTAGCAGTCTGCAAAGACTCTGTGTGCCTTCCAGAGCACTCTGGCATGCACACACATCTTAAGGTCATGAGAGAGGTCATACCTTCTCTTACTGATTTATACTATAGGAAGCCTACTCTATATCTGTTTTAGTATAAGTCCCTTTTGTGTAGATGAACTGCTGGACTTCCAGGCAAACACACCTACACTATGCACAGACTGGTACTCTTTGTTTACATGTATGTAAACAAATGTAAGATGTAAGATGTCATATGGTAATGAACCTACGCATATTCATGTAACCTCAATAAAGAGCAGTGTTACGAGGGAGCAGACGAGAGCAACTGGGGTCAAGTGAAGGAACGGCGCTCGTCCAGTTCTCTCCCTCATGCACGAGTAACACAAAGAACTTTGGCAACTTGTGTCTTGCTTTGCTGTGTAGTAGAATTGTCTTGAACGTTCCAGCAAATAGGTTTATGCTAGACAAACCCATCAACATGCTTATACCTTCCAGCACTGATGGTGCCTTTCCAGATGAGCAAGCTGTCGGTTCTGTAGGCATTAGAGATTCAGGCTTTTGAACTGAGGGCTTAAAAAAGAAGTGTTTTCCACTTTGTCACAGGCTATTTTAAATCCAGAGAAGGCAGTGGCTTTTTTGGTGGATGGCTTCTTTTTGCACAACAGAGCTTTAATCTGCATTTGTGGAAGGCACGGTGAACTGTGTTCACAGACAATGATTTCAGGAAGTGTTCCTGAGGGTAGGACAGAATCATGCATGCTTTTCATGTAATTTTACCAAGGGGCCCAAACATTACAGATACACAATACTTATTTTTGGCCTTATCCCTTGCACACAGAGATTTCTCCAGATTTTCTGTCTATCTTATGATGATGTTATGAACCGTAGATGACAAAACCTGCCATATTTTGACACAGTGTGTAGTGTGTTCTTAAAACAATGTGAGGAAACTGAACAAGTGAAGGACAAAAGAAAAGTGGGAGGCTTAAAAAAAAAAAAACTATCTACAACAGATGAGCAGTCATGTCCTTAAGTAAAAGGGTGAAAGACACCAGAATAGACGTGACACAGGACATGATATATGCATGGAGTCCTTCAGTTTATTCATCTACTGTTTAATGAAGCGTCATCACAAATGCTCTCAGGCGAAGGCTGGCTGTCAAGATGCCCTTCATAAGGAAGGGTAACAAGAAGAAAAGAGTGAGATATGCCAAATTACACAAGAACTAAACCTAAAATCAGTGACAACAGACCTTATGAAGAGATCTGCAAAAACACTCTGATCATTCTGGAAAAAAAACTATTAAATTCAGCTTTAGAAATACAAAAGTATATTAACACGAACTAAAGAAATAACTTCACTACAGTAAGGTTTCATCCAATTGGTAAATCGCACCATGATGGTACAGTAAAAACAAATCCAGCCTAAGGATTTTCTGCATTATTTTCTGTGATCTAGCAAACTGATTTTTACAATAGAAGCAACAAACAACAACATTAACTGTTCCTGAAAATTTTATTAAAGTATCACCCATTTAAAAACAGCCTGAACTGTAAAAACTGTAAAGGTGACCGGTGACCCATTACATGGTCGTCACATAGTCAGGACCATCTTCCCAGCAGCCCCGGGAGACTCAATGATATCATGGTGGGCCTGGGCAGCTTTTTCAAGCGGATACTGGGAACCGACGACCGGACGCAACCAACCAGCTTCCATCCCTGCATACAGTAGAGCTCCACACTCCTTCAACTCCTCCTGAGAGGAGCAGGGGGAGAAGAAAGATGTCCAAATCACCAAGTGGGGCACGGAATAAGAATTCTGTACATATTTATCATGTATCATGTATGGAGTCATAGCCAAAGGTTTTGGCAGTAGCATTACCAATGTGCATGATTTTGCTTACTTGGAAAACTAAATAAAATAAAAAATAATAACAACAATAGCACGGAACACTAACCTTAACAAACTAAACATTTTCAAATAATAACAATCAAACCTACTCTGGAAAATAGGCTTAACTGATTAAAAAACGAAATTTTAAAATGAAATTTAAAAAAAAATTAGATTACTGACAAATTTTGTGATGCTGTTATTTTGTACCGGTGTTGCAAAGAAAAGGGCCACTCCCACTATGCTGCTCTCTTTAATCATGGTGTCTCTGGGATTGATCTCTATAGATCCTCTGGAGCCAACAACCTAAAGAAAAAGAGCAAAGTAGAGGTATGATTAATGAGTGTTTGTAAACTACTGTATATAACTGTATATCAGAACATTTCTGGTAGATACAGGGAGTGCAGAATTATTAGGCAAATGAGTATTTTGTCCACATCATCCTCTTCATGCATGTTGTCTTACTCCAAGCTGTATAGGCTC